AGGGGCGGTAGCAGCGCCAAGGGGCGGGGTTTGCACAGCAGGCGATGCCTTGGCGGGGGAAGGGGGAAGGGAGGAAGGAGGGAGCTGTTAGTCCGGCGCATGCGCAGTGACGGCCAGGCCCTACTCAGAGTTAATTCAGGAGCCTGGAGGAAGGAGGGACAACAGGCTCCGCCCCCTGTCCTGGTCCCGCCCCCTGGCCTGCTGGTGAGACACCCCCCAACCCTCCAGAGCGGGGCTGCAGGGCCTGGGAGTGACCTGCTGTGTCCTTGGTGTGACAAGCCCTTGGTGTGACCTGCCAGGTCCCTGGCATGACCCGCCGTGTCCTTGGCATGACTTGGCGGGGCATTGGTGTGACCTGCCGGGACCTTGGCATGACCCGCCGTGTCCTTGGCATGACTTGTGACGGCCTTGGCATGATCTGCCGTGTCTTTGGCATGACTTGGCGGGGCATTAGTGTGACCTGCCATGTCCTTGGCAGGACTTGTGACGGCCTTGGTGTGATCTGTCATGGCCTTGGCATGACTTGTGGGGGCCTTGGTGTGACCTGATGGAGTCCTTGGCATGACTTGTGGAGGCATTGACATGGCGAGGCTTTGGCGTGGCTTGTGGGGGTGTTGGCGTGTCCTGCCATGTCCTTGGCGTGACTTGTGGGGATGTTGGTGTGACGAGGCCTTGGCATGACTTGTGGGGGCATTGGCATAACCTGCCATGTCCTTGGTATGACAAGGCCTTGCTGTGACCTGCCAGGTCTCAGGCATGATTTGTGGGGGCCTTGACATGATGTGGCAGGGCATTGGTGGGACCTGTTGGGACCTTGGAGTGACCTGATAGATCCTTGGCAAGACAGAGCCACTCTCTGGTGTGACCTGCCAGGTCCTTGGCATGACAGAGCCACTGAGACCTTGGCGTGACCTGCTGCAGCCTTGGCATGACAAAGCCCCTGGGGCCTTGGTGTAATCTGCTTTGGTGTAATCTGAGAATCCTGGGTGTGACGGAGCCTCACTGGGGCCTTGGCATGACTTGCTGGGGCCTTGGTGTGACTGGACAGGGCTTGGGTGAGGTGCGGCTTTGGTACGACCTGTCAGGACCTAGGTATGGTTGGGCCTTGGTTTGCCATCGCCTTCTGCAGTGGGGGCGGGGCAGGAGCGTCTGGGGCCACGGCGAGATGTGACCGTGTTTTGGCGTGACCTGACGGTGTGTTGCCATGACAGCCGGGGGCAGAGCCTTAGCGTGATGCCCAGGTGAAATGAGCAGCAGTAGCGCCCCCTATGGTTGTGATGGAGCTGCTGGGGCAGTATCATGGGTCCTCCCTTACCCCATGATCCCAGGCTCTGCTGCTGCCCCTTAGCTCCTCCCCCACGCCCTGGCATCCCCCACAGTGGAGTGGGGTGCCCTGATCCCAGCAGGACTCCACCCCAACCTGCCATCTTCTGCATAGGCACCTGGGAGCTCATTAACTTGGCAATAAATTCTTTCCTGTTCACCCAGCCCTCCCACCTGCTCTAACCACTGCGCCCCACATCCCTCCAAGAGCCAAGATAGAACCCAGGAGCCCTGGCTTCTCCCCTCCCCTCCGCTCCATAGCTGAGGGTGGATGGGATAAATAAGGGTGTTTGGGATTGGGGTGGAGTGCTGGGGGAAGGTGGGGATGGGAATGGTTGGGACAAGGGGGCAAGGAGAGGTGGGGCTGGTGGAGGGAATAAAAGGGATTTTCCAGTGTGGCTTTCTTGTTTCTCCTAATCTGACGTGTTCCCCCTTTTTCTCCCCCCACAGGGCTCCATCCTCGCCCCCATTGGCTGAGAGATTTCTGCTTCCTGGAGACGGTTGCTAACAACTCGGGCAGTGAGGGGAGGGCGGCGATGCTGGCAGGCGAGGAGAGGCCGGGAGTGATCCCCGTGCCCCCCCGTGCCCGGCAGGGACTGGGTCCCCACCGAGCCCACTGACCACCCCATCACCCGGACTGGCTGC